TAATTGTTAATTACCGGGTAATGGGACACTACCTAATTACCTAATAAGTGGATAACTACTACAAAAAACGTCTTTGGCGGCAATAACAATAGCCGCTATATCATTTACCGTCAATTGATATTTGGCCGGTGATGCCAGGGTCGATAAAGCCTTTAGCGGCATTTCTGCCAAAAGCTGGTAAAAGGTATGACTTATTGCCGCTAAAACTCATATGATTTAACGGCAATTGTTTGTGGCAATTATTATGGCTGCTAAACCCATTCTAAAAACGACTAATAATGGTCCTTTAACGTCCATTTTTATAGCCGCTAAATTCAAAATATTTGTCTCTAAAAGTCCATACACTTAGCAGTAATTGTTTTGTGGCAATTAAAGTGGCAACAATATCTCTTCTAAAAATGTATTAGTATGCCCCTTTAGCGTCCATTTTAATGGATAGTAAAGTCAATTAAATTGCTACTAAAAATCATTTTTAATAGAAATATAATGGTTACAATATCCCTATATAAACGTCTTAATCCTGTTAAATTGGCACTAAAATTCACAAGCTATAACGGTAAGTTTAGCCACCATTAATAATAGCTACTACATTCGACCAAAAAATAATGCAAATAACAAAACATATTGATATTAATCCATAAAATTATAGTATATCCCGTTAAATCTTAACAAACAAAAGGAATTACTAATCCAAAATATTAATATCACAAAACCATAAAAAATAACTCATATTGTTTGAAGTAAATAGCTAATGTCATTATATAACTAATCTTAATGAATAACAATCTTCAAATAATCTCTGAAACTCTTCGTCATATTGAAATCTTTCACCCGCTAAATTATCGAACATCAGACTGTACAACAACAACAACAACAACCCAGTATAATCCCACAAGTGGGGTCTGGGGAGGGTAATATGTATGCAGACCTTACCCCTACCCCGAGGGGAAGAGAGGCTATTTCCAGGAGACCCTCGGCTCAAGAAAGCAACAAGAGTAACATCAGACTGTACAACAACAACAACAACGAACATCAGACTGTATGACCTGAAATTATAAAATAACTATGTCAATAGGAAGTAAATGTTGCCAAACAACAAAACTGATAATAGTTTGCGAGGTTATGAAACTAAAAGTCCATAACCAGAAAGGGACACAAGCAAAATTGCAAGAATCTGCTTCATTAATGACCCAAAAGTATGTATAGTCTCATCTATGAAGTATTTTAGTATATCTGTAAATGTATATCATACAAGCAAACATATCAAATCAGCCTTTTGAGCATTCTTCACCCAAAATTGCTGGAAAAATATTGTTGAGAGAAGAATAGCCTGTCATCTGGATATTGATACTTCAGATTCAAGTAATTTAAGCATAGTAGAACTTGGACACATGTGAAATCACCAAGATCAAGTTGATTTCTGTTTCTTTTATCATTAAAGATTGCTAAAGTTCTTTCTAAATGTTTTCCTGTCAACAAAGTTCAAACTCTCTAAACACATACCACATTAGAGTTGAGAGAGAGAACAGATAGTGACTCCATCTGTCAAGTGAAACAACTTTGAAAATGGAATTTAGCAATATGGTTGTAAAAAGCTTTAAAGCCTTGTACAATTGGAAGGTGCAAGGATAGAATTGCCATAGCCACTAGTCACTTATTTTATATCCCAATGTATGAAAAGTGAAAACCAACATATGCTTTTATCACGATCCAAAATCTCACCTATCGTGATGGCGCCTATCGTGGTACTAGGCAAGCCTCAACTCAACATCTCAACACAGATGAACTTTTAAATAAAGGCGGAAGCAGTTAATATTAAATAAAACCTTTTAGAACAGGATATAACTCTAAAAGTACTAAACAATCCATCCCCAAAATCCGGTGTCACTAAGTGCATGAGCATCTAAATGATAATAACATCCGACTGATAAAACACTGTATGGAAATATAGAACAGTATAACATGAAAGGAAAGGAGAGTCAAGGTCAGCAAACGCCATGCATCTACCTCAATAGTCTTCTGAGTCTGACTCCTCAATCAGCAACCGCCGTGACCAGAAGTGTCTAGATCTGTACATGAGGTACATGGGGTAAGATGAGTACACCAACTCAGTAAGTAACAGAAATAAATAAGGAATTGAGAAGTAGTGACGAGCTATGCAAATACAGTTATCTCAATAACTTTCAAATAAGAGTAGTCATACTTTCAATTTAACAGTTTAAGTCACATAAGTACGTACTAAATAAACCAGACATCAAATTTAACTAAGCAGTAAATAATATCTTCCAATAATTTTCAAAATAGTGATATAACATCTACGATGCAACAGTAATGAAGTAAATGTATTTTTTCAGAATAATAGTCACTTTGTCCTCCCATTCACTCCAACCTCACAATCACTCATTCCTCCCAGTCGCTCAGCACTCGGCACTAGGTACTAAGCACTCGGCACTCGCACTCAACACTCGGCACTCGCACTCAGCACTCACACTTAGTAAGTACCTGCGCTCACTAGGGGTGTGTACAGACTCCGGAGGGGCTCCTTCAGCCCAAGCGCTATAACAAGCCACCTCGTGGCATAAATAACTCAGGCCCTCGTCCTCACTCAATCATAAATCAGTAACAACATTCTGCGGCGTGCAGCCCGATCCCATAAATATCCTCACAGATCAGGCCCTCGGCCTCACTCAGTCATAAATCAGTAACAACATGCTGCGGCATACAATCTGATCCCATAAGTATCATCACAGATCAGGCCCTCGGCCTCACTCAGTCATCAATCTCTCCAGTATCTCGGGCTCTCAAAAATCATATAAACAGCCCAAACAGAGGTAATGTCATGTATCAATATTGAACAACAAAGAGATGGAGGCATAATAAGCAAGAAAAGCTATAACTGAGTACAAAACAGCAATTAGCAGCTAATACAGCAAGTATACAACCTCGTAGGTCTCAACAGTGATCACATAAGGCCTAAACATGATTTCTAACATGAAGTACAGTCAATCTCTATGAAAACAGAGGGAACATGTATTAAACAATAGTCCAATTAATTCCACGGTCTCGCGGGACGGACCAAGTCACAATTCCTTCGGTGCACGCCCACACGCCCATCACCTAGCATGTGCGTCACCTCTAAAATAGTCATGTGACACAATGTCCGGGGTTTCATACCCTCAAGACCAGATTTATAACTGTTACTTACCTCAATTTGAGAAAAATCCTACTCCGCAATGCCTTTTCCTGTCAAATCGACCTCCGAATCCCTCGAATCTAGCCACAATAATTCGATTCAATCAATAAAATTATAGGAATTAATTCCATATGAAATTCTACATTTTCCACTAAAAATCCGAAATTGCACTAAAAATTCGCCCGTGGGGCCCATGTCTCGGAACCCGACAAAAATTACGGAATATGAACCCCCATCCAACCATGAGTCTAACCATACCAAAATTACTAAATTTCGATAAAACTTCGACCCTCAAATCCTCAAATCTATCCGAGAGGGTTTTCAAACTCTTCCAATTAAATTTGCAGATTTAATGCCAAAACTAGTAATAGATTTGGGTAATCTAACCAAAATTAAGTTAAGAACACTTACCCCGTTGTTTTCTCTGAAAATCTCCCGAAAATTACCTCTCCCCGAGCTCCAATTTGGTAAAAATGGAAAATGGGACGAAAGAACTTAACATTCTATCCAGAATTTTTCGCGGTTACTGTTCATGCAAGGTACTGTTCACGGGACTGTTCGCGCTACTGTTCACGGATGCTGTACATGCTACTATTCACGCAGGTGCGGTCACTGTTCACACGTGCGAAAAATGCAGAAACTGCCCAGAAAATTTCAGCAGCCTTTTTATATCCGTTAACCTTCCAAAATCCTCCCGAGGCCCTCGGGACTTCAACAAAATGCATCAACCAGTCCTAAAACATGATACGGACTTAGTCAAAACCTCAAATTGCATCAAATAATGCTAAAACGGTGAATCACACCCCAATTCAAGCCTAATGAAACTAAGAACGTCCAACTTCTATATCCGATGCAAAAACCTATCAAATCAAGTCCGATTGACTTCAAATTTTGCACACAAGTCATAAATGATATAACGAAGCTATGAAGATTCTCAGAACTGGATTCCAACCCCGATATCTAAAAGTCAACCCCCGATCAAACTTCCAAACTTAAATTTCTTATTTTCGCCATTTCAAGCCTATTTTAGCTACAAACCTCAAAATAAATATCCGAACACACTTCTAATCCCGAAATCACCATACGGAGCTATTGGAATCATCAAAAAATCTATTCCGGGGTCGTTTACACAAATTTCACCTTCTGGTCGATTTATTCAACTTAAGCTTTCTTCTTGAAGACTAAGTGTCTCAATTCATTTCAAAACCTCACCGGACCCAACCAATTACCCTAGTGAGTCATATAACAACGGTAAATCATGAATTTAGTAGTAAATGGGGGAAATGGACTGTAATATTCAATACGACCGGCCGGTTCATTACAACTTTCTTGTTGTGCTGTGAAATTCTTAATTCATGTCAACAGAGCTTGCTGAAGGGAAGTGGATAACTCCATTACCTAGCAAGTTAATGTTTTCAAAGTGATATGCAAACTTCATCCCTCTTTCGAATAGTCTACAAATGGATGCTGTTAAACAGTCATGTCTTTACAAAAGCATCCATGGCTTACTGTAGCCAAAGCTCCAAAATTAACCTCAGTAAGATGTGTGTATAAGAGAAAGCAAAATCCAGTCCCATTAAGTGATTGGAATTTCACCCTTTTTGCCACTTGTTATTTCTCTAAGTTACTCAGTCCCTCTTCTAACTCTATCTTGTGATAAAGAAAACCATTTGTCCCATTGAATTGTTGAACTTATCAGAGCTATATATAGCCAAAGACCAACTAACAGAAAATACACAGACTACTAAATCATGAATCAAACAAACATATCAAGTCATTCCTTCTGCTGGAAAAATGTTGAAACCAGATGGGGTATTGTGCTCCTTTTATCCGTGCATTGAGCAAGTACAACGCTCTTGTGAAGAACTCAAATCACATTTTACTGGTAAGTTATTTTTCCTGGAGACTTTATCTCAATTCAGTCAAGAAAACTGCTATATTAAAACTACAGACTCTCATGTGGCAAGTGTTTTTGCTTTATTTAGATGTAAGAACATTTGAAGTGCTTCTATGCACCTATGATGTTAGACAAAGGATAGTAGAGAGCTTCCCAGTTAATGAAGGAGGTTCTAATGAGCACCCTCCACGGAAGAGGAGGCAGGGTTATGCTGAAAGAAACAATGGGATTGAATGCACTTCTTCTCCTACTGGGAAGGGAGATTTTAAATGTCTGATTATTTGGGATATTAATGTTTGCTCTAATCAATCCTCTTTTGCAACTACAAGATGATGTTGAGGGAACAAAAGTACTGCAAGAATTTAAGAAACTTGAAGATTGGAGGATTAATGCCATTTTTTTGTTGTTCAATGGGATGTTAAATTGGTGATTTATGATTGCAAAACAGAGGAGAAAACCTGCTAATTGATTTGATTGTGATTGTGGTAAACAAAGAAGACATTGGACATATATATAGAGAGAGAACACAATGGGATTGAATGCACTGGTGAGCAGCAATAGTAGGACATCAAAGATCCAATTTTTGTGGTGGTTGCTGCAATAAAAAATGCAGAAGTTGGAAGCAAATTTCAAACAACAGCAACTCCTCCAAGCAGAAGCCCTGTTAGGCCTTCTCGAAGGAGCCCAAGCAGAAGTCCTGTTAGGTATTCGCGGAGGAGTATAAGTAGAAGTTCGGGCAGGGTTCCTACTAGGGTTAGGCCTTTAGGAAGGAGCCCAAGCAGAGGCCCTTTTAGGTCATCTCGGCAGAGTGCACGCAAAAGTTCGGGTAGGGTTCCTTCTAGGCAAAGCCCAAGCCGAAGTCCAGGTAGGGTTCCTAGCAGAATTGATAGGCGCAACTATTCAAGAAGTCCTGTAAGTGCAGGTCGTGGGGCAAGATCTCCAACAAGGAGCTCTTCAAGAAGAACTTTAGTGGATGGATCTCCCAAGCGCATCAGGAGGGGAAGGGGATTTAGTAAGCGTTACTCTTATGTTCGTAGATACAGGAGTCGATCTCCTGATCGGTCCCCTGTTAGGACATACCGTTATAGTGACAGGTGAGCAGCACAAGCCTATCTAACTTTTACAGTAATTGAAGTAGAAACTTTTTCTCATTAATATATGTATCCACCTAACTGTTTGGATTTTTTGAAAGATATTCGAGATACAGAAGGTCACCTAGACGTTACAGGAGTCCACCTAGAGGAAGAACGTCGTCTAGGTCTGGGATATCTGCTATTTGATATTATTGTTAGACTTATCTTTGTTAGAGATGCTAACCTAGAACTCCCCAATAATCAGATTACTCAAGGTGATGTTTCAAGCCACTATGTGCAGCAACAACAGCTTAGTACAGCTGGTACTAATGCTGATGGTCGACGAGCAACAACACCTAACAATTCCGGACAACAGCAACAGAATGCAATCACAGTAGGAGTTGTAGGTACATTTACAACTGGTGAGCAGCAGCAGCAGGACATAACGTCACCAGCTATCACTTTGGAGGACATGAATTTGCTCGATGCCTTAGTAAGTTCCAAAGCACTAAACTCTATATTTTCAGCACACTATATAGACACTATTTCAATTAAGCAAGGCAACCAATGATATCAGATTAAGTAGAATTCAGCTAGAATCCTATAACTCTACTCTTTCAACTAGAATGAATGGAACACTATAGTAACTTTCAAATAGGCTAACTATTACTACTTCAGCTGGCACGCACGGATTCAGCTAACTGGCGCAAGGGATGACTTAATCAGAGATGGAGAAGAATATTAGAGTCAAGAAGAAAGGTGAAGATGAATAAGGTTTGAAGAAGTTCACGAGAATTTGCAGTAGAAGGAAGAAAACTGCAGAAGTTGATCAAAAAATAGAAAAATCAAATAGTAGCCAAAGGATAAAGATGAGTAGTACAATGAGACATTGAAGTATTTTCAGCAACATCTCGTTCATGGCCACTATTGACAGCAGGGACCTTATAAATATTAACACACCAGATAACAATACTTTTGTAGGATTAAAACTTTATTAATAATGTACATAACTTATAAAATCGAGTTACCTGTTCAATTAAGGTGCCATTGATATTTTGAGGCATAGATTCATTGGAAGCATATTTGTGCATCAATTGTCGCATTTCGAGTAATTCTGATTGCATCTTCTCCTGATTTTGTTTCATCAGATTCATTTCTTCATTGTGTTTATCCTTTAACTCGGTTATCTCTTGTGTTAACCTTTGGACAACTTCATTAGACGAATCTTCTCCAACAATATTTTCTAAGGAAGATTTACTACCCCATAGAATAGAAGGAGTTGGACCAAGTCCTAAACCACAAACATATCCACTTTTGTCATTTCCGAACACCTGAGAATACACATCGCCTTCCCAAGCAACAACGCGAGAAGGTAGGTCAGTAGAGCTCTCACTATTGTTCGTCCTTTTATTTATCATTTCCTGGCCATAAAATACATAAATCCAATTTGGAATTCATTTATTCACTTTTATATTTTTTCCTAACTATTTCCCAATTAAGAAAATAAAAGAAAAAAAGAAAATAAGAAATCTTACAATTGCCTTGACAGAATCATCATCCAGTGGTCTACCATCCTTACGTTTTGTATGAGTTAATATGAAAATTTGTACTCGTGTAGGCTCTATCCCATTTACAGCTTAATACAATAAAATTGATGTAAGATATGCGTGAAAAAAAATGTAAAACATTATAGTTAGTAATTTGAACAAGTTTACCTGCTCATCCATCAATGTAGCAATACTTTTAGATCCTCCTGTGTGAGGCATCTTTTGATTGGCCCTATTACTTCTATTTGCTTGGGAACGCCTCTGTCGTTGAAATATTAAAATGATATCTTATAAATTATACATAAAAATTGAGCATAACTAAAATTAAAACACTAAAATAATCAACTAGAGGTGTTTTAAAGATTTGTTAATACCTTAGCTTTATCTGAAAGCCAATAAGCGACAAGACCACTATATTGATCTCTCGGTATGCGACTTGGTCTATTTTTCAGCAAAAGGTCTTTAGTCTTGTATTTTCGCAAATACTCACCTTTTAACTCACACTTGTAATCTTTCCATTTCTTTCCTAGTGACTTTAGGACATAAGCTTCTCCTCATCTTGGGATAGAGAACTTCTTCTAAAAATATTAAAGCCAATATTTAGAAAACAATATCATGTATAAAAGATTGAACCCATTCATATAATAATAATAATAATAATAATAATAATAATAATAATAATAATAATAATAAATAAATAAATAAATAATAATAATAATAATAATAATAATAACTACTCCATACCCTCACAAAATCCACCAATTTCTTCTTTTCCTCCCTGTCAAAATTTCTCCAATCATCTACATGTAAAGGTGTTAGTTCTGGAGTTCTCGCAATGATTCCTAGAAAGCTAGCAATCTTTCGACCTTTTTCCCCAATAGCTTGGTTACGATTATTAAACGGAACATCAACTACCTTTCCCAGAGGAGGTTTCCAAATATCTTTTAGTAAAGTAGGCCCACGAACCTTTCTTAGCTCCAAATTACCTAGAATAGAAGATTCAAAGGTCATCAAATGGCAAAAATTTATATGATTAAATATGTTAAATAACAAATGATTTCAAACTTATATGATTTCATTCCTTTATCGAGGCAACAACTTGATGGAATAAACAAAATTGAAGCTCAATCAAAGATAGTGACAGTAACAAAGCAAGATGGGCAGCAGCAGCTTGAGAACTTTGTTATTTATTACTTGTAGTTATTTCAAATCTTGACAGATAGATGACTACCTTCTGATATTACTTGTATTCATCCCTTCTATAATGCTGCCCGTATTATGCCATGTGTTAACTCTGCAAATGAATTCCATACTGCATGCAATTGAAATTTACATCGTACTTGGCACTCTAGGTACAATAGATGACTACAAATAATATCAGAATGTAGTCATCTATCGAGGCTACGTAGTTTTTAATTCTTGTGTGCTAACTGCTTAGTAGTTAGGAGGTCGTAGTTTGTGTTACTGCTGTACTTAATTATAATCTAAGCTAGTACAATTTTTTCTTTAACAAATCTGACCTACATCAGGAAATCTGAAAATGAATGTGAAAAATACTATCACCAAAGGTTGTGGTGAGGAAGTAAGTATCCATCGATAGGAAGTTTAGTAGTATCGTGTTTTGTAGGAACTTTCCAGCTCAATTCCAAATTAATCGTATTCCAAAAGTTGAATAGTTTGCCTCCTCAATCAACATCATACTCAAGAGTCAAAAGTAACGAAAATCAAACAATCTTGAAAATTCACAAAAACACTTTCAAAGCTTATACATCTGCATTTAAAGTTCTTGGAGAAAAAGAAAACAAGAGAAGGAGACTCACCTGAAAAAGGGGAAAACTGAATTAAACAAAAATATTGAGCCTGGGGTTGGTGGCGTCTCAAATGGAACAATACACACACACACACGCGCGCGCGCGCACACACACACACACACACACATATATATATATATATATATATATATATANCTCCATTTGTGGGATTATACTGGGTCGTTGTTGTTGTTGTTGTTGTTGTTGTTGTTGTTGTTGTATTCTCCAATGGAATTATAAAGAGTTGGAAATCTAAAAAAAGAATATGTACATATATTAAGTTCACACATTATTGTCACAAAGAAATATACTAGTAGTAGATATATTAAGATTTGAAAATGATTCGAGAGAAAAGTGGTAGGTCTGGGCTTGAAGTTCTTTCTAATTCTCTTAAACAATTAAGATTTGAAAATGATTCTAGAGAAAAGTGTTACTTGATTCCTCATAATTTTGTTGAACTTCAGTACCACCAGCAGAACTATTCAAATAACAAGATTGATCATCACGTGCCTGGTCTTCAGAAGAGTTCTGATTATCCATCAACTGCTCAATATAAGGCTGGGTTGCAGAATAGTTTTGACCATCCATCAAATGCTCAATATAAGGTCGCACATCTTCATCGTCGTCTTGTTCAATTACCAGTCGGTTGCGACCTCTAGTTCGCATAGTTCCTTCTCCAAAATGAAAATATTATCTAGCTACATTACGCTATATTAGTACTAGATTGACCCCAGAAATCAGCAGGCCATTTGCAAAACATGAGGAAGCATCATCCAAATCTCAATATGTGAAAAATATCAACAACTCAGGTAACGCAAACAAAGCCTTGCGACAAATATTGTTCTAGAGATAAGAGTCATTTATGCACTAGGAAAATAATTATCAAGTTATAGTACCACCTTATAATATCACATTTAAATGGATATAATAAGCAAAATATAAGTAGAAGAAAGCACAATAAATTCACTCAAACATCCAATATTCAAATTTTTGAAGCAAAAAAATAACACCCTTAGAGTTTATTACATAACACTTGCAACAAAAATATTCTATAAGTACTACCTATCTTATTCAGAATCACATTCATTTTCTATGTTATTTTCTCTCTCAACATTAGCTTCACCATCATTTGGAGAAGGTTGAGAATCTACGTTTGTATCAATTATTATCCCATCGACACCACTTTTTACCCAATCATTATACTCATCTTCTAAAACACAAGCATTTTCTAAAAGAGCCAAGTCAGTGGCATCACTTTGCGTTGATGACTCAAACTGCACACCTTTTTCCTCTCCTATATTAAAAATGTCTCGAGGTTTAATTAACCTAGGGACAAACCATTCATGATATTGAGGATCTTGCAGAAATATTACTTGTTGAGCTTGTTCTGCAAAAATAAAGGGCTCATGACATTCTCGATCGCCAGAGTCTGTCAGGTGTATGAAATTCACAAGTGTGAAACCCAAGTCATCTTCCTTAATTCTTCTACCTTTGGTTACATCAACCCAATCACACTTAAATAAGATGACCTTAAATTTATCATAGTAGTTTAACTCCAAAATATCATTCAATCTGCCATAATATGTGATATTTGCAGATTTTGGAGTATTATCACTTGTACTTGCATAACTTTCAGTCTTTGAAATGACCATAACACCATTATTTTGTGTCACATTGAACTCTTCACTTTGTTTTATTCGGAATAGATACCCATTATTAACATCGAACGCACTGAATCTTTTTGCAATGTAACTCGGTCCTTGTGCTAGGACTTTAACATCCTTTAAGATGTTAGATGTGGCTTCCAACTCCTTTACCTAACCAAATA